CATTAGCGTAAGGATTTTTGATAATCAGTGTTTTCGTAGTTCTCTACACATACGAGGTAAAGCAGAAGTAGATAGAATGTTCTATCGTTAAAATGATATTGTCCTACGGACCCGGTTTAAAATGATATTGTCCTACGGACCCGGTTTAACGATAGAATTCGTTCCGTGTATTCGTAATGTAGCAGAAAGAAACACGGGCGATAACTCGCATAGTGCATTTACTAGGAACAATCTAGAGAGTTCCGAATGCAAACATGGCAGGTAATTTGAATCGAGAGAAAAACGTTGAGAAAATTAATTGGATTTTCGTATTTATATTGGTTATTTTTTGGGATAAAAGGCATAAGCAATCTGAAGAAGGTTTGTTTTGATTATTGTGGTAGTTATTCCCAGTGCAAATCATTAATATATTCTTCAAAATCGTTTCAGTGCGATTCTGCAATTTTTTGCTACATTGCGAGTATATGGGTGGTATTCCAACTGTGGTGAGGGCCTGTACCGAGACACAGTTTGATTATTCTAACTAAAGCAGGAGGAGAGGGAACCAGACTGGCCTGTTTGTTTACATTCAGCTGCGGTACCAGATTAATTCTGATTCTGACAAAATCGGACCGTGGTATTGAAAAACTCACTGTCAGTGTCTTATCATTAATATTGGTAGTTTTAAAATAATTTTTTCATCAGAATATAAACGTGATTCATGTAAGAAATCCATTCTACTCTGTAAATGAGCCCGGCTCTCTGTACTTCTGAGTACTTTGATTCAAAAATGTAGATATTACGATTCGTGTTACATGGGTATTCATAGGCGTCGGAACCGGGGGGGGGGGGGGCTTAGCCACCCACTTTTCTTGCAAATACATACATAATATAGGCATTGAAAATTAGGCTTTACCTTTTTTGTTGTTAGGTCACCTGAGTAACTCAGGTGACCTATTGCTATCCGTTTTTGTCCGTCGTCGTCTGTCGTGTGTTAACATTTGAACATTTTCAGCTTCTTCTCTGAAACCACTGAACCAATTTTGGTACACAGCATATATGGGTGGAGGGGAACAAAATTTGTGAATTTCATGGTCCCCGCCCCCCTGGGGCCTGAGGGGTGGGGCCATAACCACTAAAATTAATGAAATCTTTAAAAATCTTCTTCTTTACTCAAGGACATCAAGCAGGCAAACTCTTAGCATTAATGTAATGAGCATTGAGTCCTCTACCAAAATTGTGAAATTCATGGCCCCAGGGTCAGGGGTTCTAGTGCTAGGGCGGGGCTCCTGGGTATTAAATAAACTAAGTAAGCACATAGTTATGATGAGCAAGAGTGCCTCTTCTAGATTTGTGAATTTTATGGCCCAGGGTCAGGGGTTCTGGTGTTAGGGCGGGGCTCTATAGATTATATAGTTAAAATGCATTATTTCTGTGAAAATCTTCTTCTCTGCTCCTGGGTATTAAATAAACTAACTAGGCATATAGTTATGATGAGCTAGAGTGCCTCTTCCGAAATTGTGAATTTTATGGCCCCAGGGTCAGGGGTTCTGGTGTTAGGGCGGGGCTCTATTGATTACGTAGTAAAAATACATTAATTCTTTGAAAATATATATATATATGATGAAGAAATGTGCATCTAGCAAAGTGTTTTTTTATGCCCCCAGGGTCAAAGGGGGGGGGGGGTGTTTACATAGTCTGAAAATAAATTAATGCTTTGAAATCTGCTCTTTGGTATTAATCAACCATTTTATGATTAAATTTGCAAAATTTTGAAATATGTGGCCCCTAGGTCAGTGGTTCCTTTGGGGTGAGGTGCACAACTGGTTTTAAAGTGGAAGTGCATTTTCTCTCAGTTACTCTGATCTACCTCTGGGTATTAAGTAAATAGAGTAAGCATGCTAAGTTAATAATTATGATAAGCAATGGTGCCTCTTTAAAAATTGTAAATTGTGAATTTCATGGCCTCCGGTTTAAACACGGACCAAATTTAATTGTTTGAAAGTTGTTACACAATACTCAGTTGACCTATAAGGCCCGTGGGCCTCTTGTTTTTGTTTAGCCCCCCCCCCCCCCCACACACACACTTTCAATTTGCTTCCGACGCCTATGGTATTCATTAGTTCAGTTACTTTTATATCTTCACCGTACCATTTCTCCAGTAAATCAAGGTATTTCATATAATCCCCTGCTAACCTGAATGGGCTGGGAGTCCATTCTGAAACCGCGTGTGTTCAATATTGATTGCGTGCTCGATATGTACAACGAGCGGTCAAGTTGGGCCTTATATATGACGAAGCCGTGGGAGGAGTTTATTTTTAATCCATGCATTTGATTGGCTGAGGTTCTGTTCTAAGTCAGTAAGATCATATGAAGAGAAATCTTCGTCACGAAGAATGCGTTCCGCTTCGCTCCGCCCATTCTTCATGACGAAGATTTCTCTTCATATGATCTTACTATTACTTAGTGAAATTTAATGAAACTTTCAAAGAATCTTCATTACATATTGCCATTGTGCACCTCCTTTTTTACTTTTTTATTCGACACGTATTTTAGGTTTCCCATAGCAAAACATGGACATTGTCATTATATGTTTACCTATGACGTCACCTCTAAAAGCTTCTGGATAACATTTGATAGGACGAGTTATTCCACTTTACACGTTACCGTAAAACAATGGACATTATAGGAGGCGGGGGTATCATTTAGTGAGCTCATTGCTTAAGTACCTCTAGTATTAATCAGTAAGTGTTTTATGACATTGTAGTACTACTGTTCTTTTACAATAGTATCAAAATGTATAGAACTTGAACTTGTAAATGAAATAATTGTCGTTTCATTCTGAGTCAATTTGAATAATGATAGAAAAATAAACTGTATAGTAACTCTAACATTTCAGGCTGTTTAAAAAATTCTGTAACTTCTACTAATTATTAATAATCATGGCAACACTTAGCTGCAGACCTGTAGCGTTATGGTTTTATATATTTGTGTTTGACCATTAGGGTAAAAGACAAATACATAAAACCATAACGCTACAGGTCTGCAGCTAGGCAACACTTCAACAAAATCAATAGATAATACGTCCGACGGTATAACCGTTATAAGGAGCGCAGTTCATTTTTTACAACTGTACAAACCTTCTCAAATATCATTTTGTTTTCTGGTTTCTGTATGACATTAAACACTTAGTAAATTTCTTTACCGTGTGTTACTAAAAATGGTGAACAGCACGCATCAATGTCTTGTAACAAAGTTTAGGAGGATAGATGCTATTTCTTTCCCTTAGGTTAAACCCCAAAAGGGACATAATAGTAACTATTGCAATCTGCTCAGTCGGTAGAACCCTCCCTTCTTTATCGACTTGTAATGTGTTCGACTGACGTAAGTCGACTAAAATATATATGTAGCTACTGTTCCATTGCCGAACTCTCATCACTTTGAAGTGAAAGTTGCAGGTTCTTTACACCTTTAAAACCGGGAGCTTTTGTATAGGTCTTGAATTTTAAGCCCTTTGACGGATAATTATTTGTCTAAAACCTCTTTCAATTTCGCAATGTAATTTTTCTGGATAAAATCATTCATATCCTCTTTAAACATATGGAATGATTTCTAATCGCAGCATCAGTACTCTTCGAGTTAAATAGGGACCCGAGTTTCAATAAAAATATCCATAGGGATCTCGTGAATTTATTCCATAGATTAATATACACGTTAAAACTTCCTCTCAAGGTCTCGAATAGCAGAGGTTTTATCACAGAAAAGTTTTAAAAAGATTTAAGTAATTTTCAACAGTCATCATGCGTAATGTGATAAAACAGCATCATGCACTCTATGCATCTTCTCATTTTGTATTTTTGTCCTGTGTATATGTAGCCTTTTTAACAATGCAGTTAAATTGCAACCAGAAGATACTTTTGCATTGCGAATTTTACCAGCAAATGTATCGACATATTTTCAAATTGAACTTTTCATATGCATCAAACAGAGCATGGCTGCATAGATTTCATTGATTTCCGATAATGAAAATAAGTTTTGATATTTTAATAATCACACAAAATTCAAAAGTAGAATGTTATATTCCCGAAGTTTATTTGACAATGACCGGTGTCGACTTTAACCAAACAGTATTGGAATTATTAGTAGTTTATAAAGAATTCCTGAAGAAAAGAGGGTTCATAAAAACTTTGTGATTAAGTAACATTAAAATACGTTAAGCTGTTCAAAATCACTACCGAATCCGAGATCAGAGGACGCTATAATGAAAAATTAATTTACAGTGCGTTATTCTTATTTGCATGCTTTGTTCTTTAAAATGAATAAATCATTTACCCCATATTTTTCTTCTTTATCTTAAGATTCAAATCATCTACTTTTGAAATGGTTTTTCCTTCCTTCGATCGCGCACATTAAAATTAATTGATGAGATTACTGTTGCAAGTAATGTTTGTCTTTAATCTCGTGTGTAAATAGGCACTATTCTGGGCGACATAAGTATGTATTATTCATAAACACACGTCTGTGAGGAAAGACGTAATACTGAAAAGGAAAGATTAGAAATATATATTTAAAATGCAACTTTACTCTTAAAAGATTTGATTTATAATTTAAAGTTTGAAAAAGCTGCATATACGCCTTGATATATTATCCTTGAACATCAGAAAATGATTAATCTTTAAAATGGAGAGTAAAGATAAAATTTGTTATTCTCTAAATTGAATTTGGTTAATGATATAGAAACGCCCCTTAGTTGCTCAGCCAATACAAAAGTGTTTAGCGTTAACTTGAGACAGTGATATACATTGAATAGCGATTTTTTTTAACTTGAACAACCCAATTAAGGAACATTTTGGATCTTGGAATGCATGATCTGTTTAAAAGAGCCTTGAAATTTAAGGAAACAGGACTTGAAAGAGGTCGATGGTGATAAACTTTCCATGATGAAAATAGTGAAATATTCTTATCAGCGAATACTCTAAAAATACCTGTCCTTGTTCAAAAATCTGAAATAAAAATAAATAATGAAACCCAGTCTTGTGAAAGGAATAGTGCTCCTTTATTTCTTTATGAGCCAGTTGATATTAACATCTGCCACCTTGAGCCAACTTTACACAGTAAAAGTGGAGTTTGACAACAAAATGTCTAACAGTTCTTTACGGACAGAACACGAGTCGAACTCTCTCTCCGAATGTTGTACTAAATGCCAGACCGGATGTGGCTGTGTTGGCTTCCGGTTAAGTACAATGGTCTGTCACACTTACCCGACTTGTGATCTTGCTGATATGACGGGGGAGGAAGAAGGTTGGGGGTTTTATATACCAGGTAGATATATATTTTATCGATATAGGTTTTGGATTGAAATATATGGAGATAACGCGAAAGTCCATTAAACAATACAAAATTGGACCTCCAAAAAGCTTAATTAGGATAAGGTGCCATGGAGGAGAGAAAATCCCCTGCCTATTGGTGACAACTGTCGTGTTCATGAAGTCATTTAAAGATTAAAAAGTACACCTCTGCCAAAAGGTCAACACTGGGATAAAAAAAATAAAGCTGATAAAAACTATTTGATTACAAAACACATTTTTAGATATGATAAACATGTTTTTTGTATTTCTAAAAAAATTAACATTTGTTACATTTTTAAAATTGTTCAAATGAAAAAAAAAATAGTTTTGATTTTTTTTCAAATGTTGAACCAAGGGAAGAAGGGACTTTCCTTAAATTCAAGTTCTTAGACTCAAAGATATAACGGAAAGTTATAAGTAATTATGATTAAGCTAAATTTAAAATAAATTACGAATCTGATTAGGACTGGATTGTTTATGTTTGCAAGAAAATTTAACTACTCATAACGTCCTTGTAGTTCTAGATATTGACTGTATGTCGCTGTATGACAGAGGTATAAGGACATCCGGCGTCTACACGATTCATCCCTGGGACAAGTTGGACCCGAAGTATCGTCCTATTGAGGTGTATTGTGACATGGAGACGGCAAACGGAGGGTGGACCGTAAGATATTTTTCTTTGTCTAAAAACAGCGATTTAAATTGCTAAAATTCTTTCTGCAAATTTGTCGTATTCTCGCTTTCCTACGACGTTTTATCCATATACCAAGTCTATGCGAAAAGTTTTTAGCTCACCTGAGCCGAAGGCTCAAGTGAGCTTTTCTGATCACATTTTGTCCGTCGTCCGTCCGTCTGTCTGTCTGTCTGTCCGTCCGTCTGTAAACTTTTCACATTTTCGACTTCTTCTCAAGAACCACTGGGCCAATTTTAACCAAACTTGGTGCAAAGCATCCTTGGGTGAAGGGGAATTTAAATTGTTAAAATGAAGGGCCAAGATAATCAAGAAAAGACAAAAATAGGGTGGGGTCATTAAAAAATCTTCTCAAGAACCACTGGGCCAATAAGGCTGAAACTTATGTTGAGGCATCCTGGGATAGTGTAGATTCTAAATTGGTCAAATCATGACCCCAGTGGGTTGGGCGGGACCACAATGGGGAATCAAAGTTTTACATAGAAATATATAGGAAAAATCTTTAAAAATCTTCTTCTCAAGAACCACTGGGCCAGAAAAGCTGAAACTGATCATGACCCCCGGGGATAGGGCGGGGCCACAATGGGGAATCAAAGTTTTACATAGGAAAAATCTTTGAAACTCTTCTTCTCAAGAACCACTGGGCCAGAAAAGCTGAAACTCATGTGGAAGCATTGTGGGGTAGTGTACATTCTCAATTATCCAAATCATGACCCCCGGGGGTTGGGCGGGGCCACAATGGTGAATCAAAGTTTTACATAGAAATATATAGGAAAAATCTTTGAAAATCTTTGTCTCAAGAACCACTGGGCCAGAAAAGCTGTAACTGATGTGGAAGCACCCTGCGGTAGTGTAGATTCTAAATTGTTCAAATCATGACCCCCGGGGGTAGGGCGGGGCCACAATGGGGCATCAATGTTTTACATAGAAATATATAGGAAAAATCTTTGAAAATCTTCTTCTCAAGAACCACTGGGCCAGAAAAGCTGAAACTGATGTGGAAGCACCCTGGGGTAGTGTAGATTCTAAATTGTTCAAATCATGACCCCAGAGGGTAGGGCGGGGCCACAATATGTATTACAAGGGGGAAATCTGGTCAAGAACAATATGACAAAAGATTCTCAGGTGAGCGATGTGGCCCATGGGCCTCTTGTTTTTTACCACACAGGACATTCGGTCCTATGTAATTGATCAACACACAGGACCGAATCAAATTGTCAGACCGAAAAACCTAATTTAAACAAATGAAACACGTGAAAATTAGTGATGGAAAATGATTATCGGTTAGAATCGGTTGGGCATATTCCATTAATAATCATAGAAAAGTTAAACTTATTTAACTTATTCAAATTTCAGTGAGGTTTTTACAGAACAAAATCATTCACCTAATTACAAAAATATAATATTCAAAAATGTTTATTAATATCTTTTTTTTAAAAAGTGGAAAATGAAATTTCATTTCTTTAAACAAAATCAATATATTGAAACAGAATGGGAATTTATTTCTTTAAAAATTGCAGTTAATGGGAATATTACTGATATTAGTCCCACCTTTCATTACATGCATTTATTTCTTTGGATTACAAGTTTTAAAAGTAGTTATCCAGAGACTAAAATTGTTGTTCTTGATTATAGTAACGTTTACATGTACATATTGTCTACACTTAAAATGTTTTCCTTTGTATAATAAAACATAGTATTATTGTCCGTTTCCTGTTATTAGTCTGACCCTATATTCAGTCATGGCGGTAGAAAAACATGGCAGTGATTTCTTTGATGTTTTAAACATTCATCATTACTTTTAAGTTCTTTGCACTTGGATTTGGTAATAGATATTTGGTAATAGAATTAAAGTTTGACTATTTTATGTTTTGTCAGCGATGTCGGCAACATATTTTTTTACTCTGAGACATCGGACATTCCGGTCCGGTGAAAAAAGAATGACGCATCGGACCAGACGGTCCGATGTCTTTTGCATAGACTGTATACCTATTCCATTACCTTAAGCATTTTATCTTGACTGTAATTTTTAATGGAAATGCAGTCGAGAAGCTACAAACATGTAAAATGTTATCTTGACCCTCTCCCCTCCTTCTCCAGAAGTAAGTCCTCATTAGAAAAATTTAAATTAACACAAGGTATCATGAAAACATGACTCGTGAAAGTATCCATTCCCTGTTTCTAAATATACCTTTTTGTGGGATTTCGGAAGTTTCATGGTCCTTCCCCCCCCCCCCCCCCCCCCCCCCCCCCCCCCCCCAGAGGTGGGGCCTAAACCACTAAAATCGGTGCAATCTTTACCAAAATTGTAAAATTCATGGCCCCAGGGTCAGAAGTTCTTATGATAGAGCGGGGCTAAATAGATCAAACTAGACGCTCTGTTGAGCAACAAAAAATGAAAATCTCAGGTAATTTATACATATTCATGGCCATAAGAATTTAATCGTCAAATATCATTTCTTTAAGCATTTAACTCCTTGTATGAAAAAAAAAAACATTTGTATTATAAAAACAATTTTTAACGTTAACAGGCTATTCAGAGAAGGCTGGACGGATCTGTCGATTTTAATCGGACTTGGAATGACTATAGAATCGGGTTCGGATCGCCACATTCAGCTTACTGGATCGGTATGTAGTTTTGATCAATAACTTAACAATTTTACATTGATTTGCTTTCCCTATATGGTTTAACACAAGGTTTGTCAAAGCATACACCATAGTTCTGTGATTGAAAACTCTTATTTCAAATTTATAACAGGAAATGACGTAATCTACCAGTTAACAAGAAACCCTTCGTACTTTTACATCTCGATTACACTACACAATAACATTAAATTGTATGAGAAGTATGAAGGCTTCAGTGTCTCACCAGGGAAATTCCAGATGGATTTGTCTGATTCAGCTACTGGAACACTAGGTATTTATAACTATCTTAAAATAATAATTGACATACATGTACATAGTTTGGTGTAATATTTAGAGGCCATTAAGTTTTTATCTTTGGTATAAAGGGGATTAAATGAATTCAATTCAATATATTGGAAAATTCAGACAAGAAGGGATACTGAATATTTGTCAATAAATAAATACACGCGCATTCACATGTATAAACAAAAGTTAATAATACATGTATAAATTAATTTATTTAAAAACCTGACCCAAAGGTCTTAATTCTTAAGTGAACAGTCAAATATAATCAGATCAAATGAAACTCAAAGTTTCATGATACTCAGGTGACCAATAAGGCCAGTTGGCCTCTTATTTGTTTAAAAAAACATTTTACCAGGTGACGGTTTGTATATCACCGCCAAACCCGAAGAAACTACTGCGGTTTATATGAAGTTCACCACCTACGATCAAGACAACGATCCCTCCCCGGGAAACTGTGCCGTGGGGTACGGCGGTGGATGGTGGTTCCGAAATTGTTACCAAGCATTCTTAAACGGACCCTGGGCCTCACCGAAGTGGTCAAACCCGTGGGGTGGTACAGTTTCCAGTGGATCAGATGTCAAGGAAACTGTTATAATGATTAAACGATATTAAAATACATTGGGACAACATAGTATTTCGCGCTCCTTATATAACAAGTTTAACACAGGGCTTTTTACAAAGGCAACACAACGCAAAGTGGAAAATCTTGCAATTCCAAATTGAATTAAAATTGTTTATAACATGATTGTACAGTACCGAGCACGTCGTTTATCTTTCGACTCTAGATGCACTTCTAATTCATCCATATCAAAATAGTTTAAAGAACGTGAAAATGGAACAGTGAACGGTTCTTAGAGCGACCTTACAATGTATCATTTGATGCTGAAAATCAGAATAGATCACTAAGTATTATTTTAGATATTTAATCTTGAAGAAAAGTAAAACAAATATTATTGGTTCTCTTTTTCTTTTTTGTTTAAAAAGATTTCTTGAAATTAAAGTAAGGCAGAAATAATTGCAACGAGAATAACGAAATGTCTCCCCTTTTGCTATTACGGAAAGCCCGGGTTAAGTTAATAGGATTTCATATAATTTAAATATAAAGAATACATAGAATTAATTTAATTCTCCTAACTCCCAGAAAGTTTAATGAGAAAAATAAATTATCAAAAAGGTTTTCTTTTACATGTATAATGTATTTGAAATAGTTCATTCAAGACGATAACACAAATATCAAGAGTCGAAAATTACGTGCCAAAGTAAAGTTATTTTAAGAGGACTGGTTTCACATTGTTATCTTAATATGTTTTTATAGGCTTAGTTGTTTTGCTTAAATGCACGATAATGCGTTTAAGAGAGATTTTGTAATAAGCTTAATTCATTTTCTTAACGGGATAAGCAATCGCATTGTGTGATTTGTTCAGGACGGGAATCATCTTATACTACAAAAAATAAATCGATCAAATCGTGGCAAAGAATATTATTTTCTTGAATAATTTTCTATCTGTAGTGTCTTCATCGGATTCAGCATTATGCTATGTCCTGGACGGTTGGTCTATTGTATATCTAAATCAATGTGTTTTGAAGTTTTGTATATCATTTAAACATCTCGTCTTTGGATCAATGACTTCATCAGATAATGCTTTCACAGTTTGTAAAATACATTTTAATGTAAGAATAAATACGCCATGGAATTCAGACGTCATCCATTTCCATTAAATTTCATTAAATCTCTAAAGAAGTCACGCATTCTATTTATCGATTAAATTATTAGAAATATTATGCTTGCCAATAAAATGTAATCGAGGAAGAGAATGAAAACGATGAAGAAAATGAAAAAGAAGATGTTAATGGATGAATAAAAGTCATTATCAAAGGTATATGAATGTGCGATTGAAGATGGAAAAACATTCAGAGGAATGAGTGATGATTGTGCTGCACGTACATTTAGAAAAAACGATCTGTTGGAAAACTTGATTGACTTTTAATTACCCAAATAGATGGTTTTCCATTGAGGTAATTTAAGCAAGAGTTATTCCCCATGGCCGCCATGTTGTAGGGTAACATTCACAGATCCTTCCATTATTCAACCAAGTTCAATTTGTTATATTGGTTACTGAAGTAAAGTTAACACTATTTTGCTTACGAAAATACGTTTGTTAAACCCTCTATTAATTCAAAATCTTGAGATTGTAAATATTTCCCCCCATATATTTCTGGCATGGGTGTTTAAAATTGGTTGCTCAAAGTGGAAAATTCACTACTTTGCCCTACAAGATGACTGCTAAGGGGAATAAATCAGGGGCAAAATATGTCAAAGGAAAACCATCTTTTAAACATAGAAATTAAAACTATACGTATAAAAATGTAGATCGGAAAATGTTGCTTTTAGACAAAAATATATTTTAAACTCTCTTCCGGCTCGTGCACCTTATGTCAAACCCTGACTATCCCTTCGATGCTTCTACTCTTGCTACTAATGCGGCAAAGCGCATCCATATAATTAAACTTTTATATAAATCTCTCGATTTGTTTCGCAGATGTGTCTGATTATAAAAACGATTTTTGTTGACTTATGCAGAATTTATTTAGAGAAGAAGCTCTGATAAATATCTTTGTCAGTAAGTTTATGTTGATGTAGTACGTTATTCGTTTGTACGAAATAAGATTCTATCATCAAAAGAAATTGTTAGTGCTTTATAAATATTGTGGTTGGGAGTTGCTACTGTAGCTTTGATCTTTGATCAAATTTCTTCTATAAAGACATATGCAATGTACCTTACCAACTGATAATTTTTCAAGATATTCTAAATGTAAACTTAAAATACCATTACATGTTCTTAGACAAAAAATCAGCATGCCTTACCAGGGTTTTGAAAAAATAGCAAATTTTTGACATTTTTTTCATTATTCAAAGAAAAATCTAGGAAAATTACAAAACATAAACTAAAGATTTTTTTTCATCAAAAATTGTTTCAGAAGAGGTGTACAAATCCATATAAAGACATTAAAAATATTGCGCACAGGTCCTTCATTTATTGGAATTCTTCAACTCCAGGAAAGAACCCAATAAAGTTCAATCTACAGATTATATTATAGGTATTTACTTTTTGCCTTTGGTCGTACATGTATATACTAAATAGTTACTGAGTATTTATATACCGGTTTATGAAATTACCGTCTCCACTGTATTTTTTTTTTATCACTTTTAGTTTTTATACGTAAAGAGCCTCTACCGACTGCCTGAATATATATAGTGGAGATGATAAATATTCATAAATATAACAAACAGTATAGGACAGTCTGAAGATAATATTAACTATTGGAGAGAATGAAGTATCTGATACATTCAATTATATTTCAGATTATGAAAACAATTTAACCGATTTGTAAAATACACTTCATTTTGAAATTCGGTAAACGCTGTTGGAAAGTTTTGAAGAAGATCAAAAGCAAGAAAGTGACCAAGCTCCATAGAGATTAACATTTCATAAAAATCGCCCGTAAATCAAACCCAATAATATCGTGAAAGAGGTTGTGCATTTGTATTTCTAATTTGGCCAATCTTTTTTGTCGATTGCCATCGTGGGTCAACTTTACACAGTAAAAGTGGAGATTGATAACAAAGTTCCTAACAGTTCTTTGAGGACAAAACATGAGTCTATTTCCCTCTCCGAGTGTTGTACTAAGTGTCAGATCGGATGTGGGTGTGTTGGATTCCGGTTTCGTACAAAACGTGTTTCACACTTACCCGACTTGTAATCTTGCTGATATATGGATATGACAGAAGATGAAGAAAGTTGGAAGTATTTTATACCAAGTGAGACTTGATAGTTATCCTCAAAGAACCTATTCATGTTCTTTTAATGTCAAGATAATTCTTATTGTTGTTTATATTATTTGGAAGTAAACCTCCAAAGGAATCCAGAATTTTATTGGTCAAAACCAAGCTCTTTAAAATTAAATATGGACAAAAATGTATCAAAAATCAACTAATGAAAAAACTACTATAAAACTTTAAAAGAATTGTCCACGCAACAAAGAGAATTTAACCACTTTATCATCCTTGTAGTTCTGAATGTGGACTGCTTATCGTTGTATAAAAGAGATGAAAAGACATCCGGTGTCAACACAATTCATCCCTGGTACAAATCAGATCCAAACTATCGTCCTACCGAGGTCTATTGTGACATGGTGACGGCAAACGGAGGGTGGATTGTAAAGTGTTTAAAATATCGATGTACAGTATAAAATTACTATTGGAACCGACAGAATTTTTGTTTTTGAAATTTATTTATTTTAAAAGGTCAACGGATGATAATTGAAACTTCTTTATGGCATAGGATCTTTCCCAAACTTTATTTTGTTTCCTGATAATTCTATTCAGGCACATAGCAACAGGGGGCCCGGGGAGGGGGACTTTTTTCCCAACATTACTTTTACTATTGAAAATGTTCATTGAAAGGTTGGTTGCCCCCCCCCCCCCCCCCCGTTCTTACCACAATAAAGTGATATCAAGGGAATGTAGTACTGTATCCCTAATACTGGTATTGAAAGAAGATGGCACCTGAAACTTTTCCCCCAACATTACTTTTACTATTGAAAATGTCCATTGAAAGGTGGGGTGCCCCCAGAGCTTACCACAGTCAAGTGATATAAAGGAAAATTGGTATTGAAAGAAGTTGGCATCTGAAAAAAGTCGCTCCCCCCACGAAATTGGATTTTCGAGTTCGAGTTTGGGCAATGTTTTTTATTTATTTATTTTTCTTTTGCTTGTCAACTTTTTTCAGGTAAGGAAAAAAACTTTTTATTGCTCCTCCCCCCCCCCCCCCACTTTCAAAAACGAAGCTACGTGCCTGCTGTTTTTGCTTTTTATTTGTAAAGTTTTCTCTTTTAGCAAGTTTTTGAATTGCTATACGTTAGTACATGTATATAACACATTTATGTTGAACCAAACAGCCTCTAGAAAACACGCACATGTATAAATAAAAACGCACAGTTTTATAGAAAAATGACTTTGCAAATTACCCCCCTTCTTCACACAAGATGAGGTTGTGCAAGCAAATTGTCTGTCATAAAAAGCCGAAATGTAAACCTCCTAAAAAATTATAAATGTTCATTAAAATGCTAAGCTAGATTTCCCATTGAGTAGAGAAATGTTAATTCAAGACGAATTATTGTAAAGTCTTCTAAGCATAGCCATTTAAACACCAAAATTTTCTACTAAAAATCCACCAAAAGGGATTGTATAAATATAACTTTAAAAATGACATAGATGGACGGCTTTGTCAATTTCAATCAGATCGACTTGGAATGACTATAGAATCGGGTTTGGATCGCCACATATAGGTTACTTGATCGGTATGTGGTATATATCAATTAGTTCACAATTTTACAGAAAAAATTAAATATGTAGTTTTTCAGATGAATACCTTTTTTCTCAATTAAAAACTACTCAAATTATTTATTTGAAAACTAAAGCAAAAACTTCTTTAAATAAAACAGGAAATGACGCAATTTTCGAGTTTAACAATGAATCTCCGACTTTGTTCATCTCGATCAAGTGACGGAGTAATTTGACGATGTATGAAAAGATTGAAGCATTTCATGTTTTTCCGGAAACGTTTTTAACTGTTGTTTAACGACAATGGACCCCATAGGAAGTCTTCTCACAAAAAGTATACATGCAATGATGTATAATTAATATGTTGCCCTATTATAAAAATTTCCTTCTCTGTAATTATGTATTTTTGACAGGGGACAGCTTTATTTTACCGCAAACCAACAAGAAACCACCGCGCTTGCGATGACGTTTACCACATACGATCAAGAAAACGACCTCTCCCCGCTGGAAAATGTGCCGTGGCCTACGGCGGTGGATGGTGGTTCGGGAATTGTTACCAAGCCTTCTTAAAAGGACCCTGGGCCTCACCCCTGTGGTTAAATCCCGTGGGGTGGTGCGGTTCCAAATGGATTAGATGTCAAGTAAACCCTGATGATTAAACGATATTTAAGTCCTGATACTGAGGTCCACGGATAAATATATAATCGAGTTTAATGCGGATGTCATGGGCAAATATCAGGCCATGAATTCGCGAGAATGCTAGAAAGTTCGCCACGAAACCAACTTGCCTGTAGAATAATTCGCCCTATTCGATTTTAAATATATCATTCATTGGCAAATCTCGTTTTTAAATCTGCATATCGTATTTATATATCCAGCGTCGACTCCGAAATAAAATTTGTGTACTACAGAGCTGTGCTACACGTACCATCACTCATCCAGAACAGATGTCAAATCCAAGACGTAATGGGTTACAAAATTAATAGCCTGATTTTTCAATAATGACGAAACTAAAGGCTAAGAAAAGCACTTTATCATAATTTAGGTTGGTAAAGGGTGAATTCTGGAAATCCAAACACTGTGATAGAACAGTGTCTACCTATGCTGTTGTTGACTTAGCCCAGTCGCGGCCGATATAACAACTCAGAACTTCCCCATCACAGTCTTAGAAAAAATACAAAACGTACGTAAACATGTCAAATCATATTTATTATCAATTAATGCATAAAACGTAATCAATTTCAAGAAATGTGTTATGGTTACATTACAATGATGTTATTTTAAAAATAGTTCCACAACATGTATAAAACAGGAACATTTTAAGGAAACTGACACGTATGCATTGAAGTACGGTACCAAATTGTCCCGGATATTTTTCTAAAATCTCCAATTTCTCTGTATCCTAAAAAAATATCATAACAATTTGAAAGAAGGTTTTTTACTTCTTGACATTTGATACTTTCTTTTTTTGTTTCCACTGAAAATTCTTCTACACATGAAATGCGTTTTTGCATATTTACTTAAAACGTGTGCACATGATATGTTCAGAATGATACATAAATATATACGGCATTAAAGGTACTTGGACATAGATTTGAAGTTAATATTTTCTGTATAATATGACGAATTATATATTTTATTAGCATTTCACACAAAAATTAATTAAAAATCTTATTTCATTTAAAAGTTATTAAAACTTGATTGACACATCCTTGAACTTTCACATATTTTAACTTTATTCTTAATCATCCAGAAGAGAGGCAATCTTGTTGTGTTTTAAAGAGAAATATTAAAACTTTAATCCAGAAAAATAATTTTATTCGGAGTAGAAATGTTAGAAAGCAAAACGCCTTCACAAGTATCGTCATTCTGAGCTAAGTCCTGTGTGCAAATCGATCACACTCGTGTTATGTACACAGTTTTTGTAAACAAGGCAGGAGATCCGTTTTTGTTGATGTTTTGATTTCACCGGGTGCGTTCAATTGTCAAAGTCTGCTCACCACAACTGCACGGACTGAGAATATATTTGCGTTTGTTTTGCTTTCGAACATGTCTACTCTGAATTTTCTGGATTATAGTATTAATATTTTTCATTCATACACAAAAAGATTGCCACTTTTCGTAAGTATTAAGTGTAAAATTAAAACTTGTGAAAGTGCAGGGACGTGTCAATCAAACCCACCCAAAAATCTGAAGTTTTAATAACTTTGAAATGAAGTAAGACTTTTAATTAATTTTTGTATGAAATGCTATTAAAATATATAATTCGTCATATTATAGAGTTAAAATTAACTTCAAATCTGTGTCCAAGTACCTTTAAGTAATAAATAAAAAATATTCTTTATACTAATGAAATAAATATAAATTAATGAGGCAGCTGGAGCTTCTGAAAACACCTCTTTGAAAGAAAGGAAATGTCGCTATTCCTTAAAATACATTTGAGAGAAAATAAAAACTGATACACAGTGTTGAATCAAGGTTATCACTCAAAAACAAATAAAACATCATACGATACAGTACTCTGTTTTGCCAGCACAGTTTTCAATCACAGCAATCTTTTTCTTATAGGAAGTCTACTTCAAAACAGTAATTAAGAAACTATTTCGTCAAATTCAGTTTATCACAAACTCTGTGCGCCATTATTCTTTGGAATTTTTTCAGCGTTTCCGGGTCCGTTTTTTCTGAAAAAAAAAACCAGAAACCTTGTACAGTGATTATAAATCAAAAGGATTTTTTACATGCATGTACCGAAATGTTTAAGGGGATGAAGGACCTTTAGCTGAAAAAATACCTGTCATTTAATTTTTTTCATATTTTGTATATATCTTATTTAGTATGTCCTACATACTATAAAGCAGACATATCAATAGGTTTCTAGACTTATTTCTGAGATATTGAGTGACAAATACCATACCCCACAGTGTCTGAGCGGAGTTTTTATTCTCCGTGTTTCTGGGTCCATTACTCGGTCGATAATTCAAATTTTTCACCATAGATAAAAAATATACCAGCGGAAATGTGTCTTATAAAATATTTTAGAGTATGAATAGGGTTAAAAATTCGAAAAAGCAAGATTCTTTTGTAACACCACATCTGGAGACGGAAATTTACGACTTTTTTAGGACAACTTAAACCATAAAAAAATTAATTTGCAAAAATCCTATCATTCAGTATTTGAAAATTTACGTCGAAGTTCAAGGTCGTCATTGTATTGATTAACTGTAAAAATATCGATTGGTGAAGCTGAGCTCAATATTGCACGGGGCAAAGTTAAACGAGTCATGAAATTGAGAAAAACGTGTCATGTTTACATTTCTCGAGTACGGGAAAACCCAACTATGACGTCACACATTCCTGAAATAAGCGAAATACAAACCCACAGAACTTTTCCGTCAACAACCATGTAAAAATATTTTTTGCGTTCTGAAATTTACAAAATACCCTACCATGTACATATTATGACACGTTTTTATGACTTTATACTACGCGTTTTCACCGTGTATGATCTTACTGAACTAAGAGATCCACTATGACGTCAAAGACGCACTGGACGCGCAGAGTAGGGAAACGGCAGAGTGGATTAATCTATTCCGTAATTTGATAATATTTGCAAGAAATTTTGAATGTTTTCAGATATTTTTATAATAGATGGTGAACGCAAACAGTCAAAAAAATTATACAAGTACTGTGGTTTCAATCTCGTTTTTTACATATTTTATCAGAGATTATGACGTAAATCAACTGAGTCACGTGACCATACATCCTTCATCCCCTTAATTTGAAAACAAAAATATTTTGATTTGGTGTATACTTGCAACCTGTCGACGAATTATCTTAATTAATATCTGTCGACTTGGTATCAAAAGAACACCTGTCGCGACTTCATATGTAAACATTCTCAACCTGTATGCATTATAATAAATAGGCGTCCAATTTTAAAAATTGAAATTTGCAAATATCTTTCTTAAATAAACCAATTGCAGAGAAAATATGTTCAGTTTTGTGTATTTTTCGAGGGAAGGGGGGGGGGGTTCAGAGCTAGGTCATAGCGCGACCAAATCACTGAGCGGTGATATTTTGTCTACATATTTCTGTCACGGTGCAATTTCTTTTTGAATATTTGTAAGTTAATTACGATAAAAAAGATAAATTAATAAACAGTTTTGATATTTTTCAATCAATACAATAAGTACAATAAATCTTCATTCGATGTGAATAAGGTTTTGAGTACTATAATTTGCCTAAAACTGCAATTACCTTTTTAACTAAAAATTCTTTTGGAGTTATGTAAACTAAAACAGATGATACCACCGCTTTTGAATTAAGATATTTTAAGACCTTATGAAATAGTAGGATTATTTTTAGCAGCAATCATTGATCTTTCACTATATACATATTTTTTACTGAACTTGACTGATAAACATGAATGGAAACATTCAAGTATGAGCGAGGTGAACTTTACAGACCAAACAACTTCTAAACAACTTTTCGGTCATCATTATAACAGTTTACATATTTTTAAATTTTAAGTCCGTCGGATGGGACATGAAATGGTGCCCCGTGTCAGGGACAACAACCCCATTGGCACGCAGAAGACCGTTTCTCTGGAGTTCGAAAAAGAGTGGGCTCATTTCGGGCAGCCAGAGAAACCAAAAACTTTCACAAAACCGGTCAATAAACAAACTTGTCCGCCGAAATATGGCTGAAATATTGCCGCCTCGGCGTTAAACAATATAAATCAATCAATCAATATCGGTCATTGCGCGCCACAACATAGCAATACGGCGGCTCGTTCCTGTTATAAGTGCAGTTTTACTCGAAATTTATTCGTTTCAAATGTAAATAAAAGTAAAAAAAAAAAAAACAACAATGTTAAAAAGTTTAACTGGAAACAAGGGCTTCACAGGCTTTGATAACGTGACCAACTAAGAGTTCGTTTCCCAGAAAAGGACTTGATAGCAGTTAATTAAATTTATTTAAACAACTGAAGTGAAACAACCATAAATTATACGAAAAGGACAAGTCCTTTATTTCTTGTCTGAAAAAAAAACTCTTGAAGGTTAAGAAACAAAGGCATGTCAGCATGACCAAAGGGCCAGGAATTTAGATCTGTTCCCATCGCGAACGGCCTTAAAACAAGGAAGAATATGTTTTGCCTTTACCTTCTATGATAAGGAACCTCGATTTATTGTCTTATTCGAAGACCAATCTTCATTTCAAACAGCGGGATTCCAACGGGTGACAAAACAATCAACTCCTATTCACGATTCAATAGGAAATGAAGGCTCATACCACTGCGCCCTATGGGCGATGTGATTACTCGTATAATGTGAAGTTTTTTTTATAAATTTAAAGTAATTTTATGCATAAAATTGATTTCTGTAACCAACAGGCACTCATCCACTTACCGGTCTTATCTTCGCTGCAGCAACAACAACAGCGATCTTTGTTGCATGAACAACATGCAATGACCCTGTATATCCTCACGAAGTTCCACACCAGGTTAACAGGGGAAGGAACTCGGTATTTGTAATTCATAATTACGGTGTAACGTTCAAATCGCCAAAGGTTTTCAGCATTAGCTGTTACTCTCTCGTATGTAGAGCTGCAAATGAGAAAAAAATCTATTAAATTCACTTAAAAAAAAAAACTAAAAAAACAAATAAACATACAAAAATTTATATATGGTACGTAGGGAAAAAATGAACTGCTAAAATAAATATGAATTTATGAATGTGTTATTACTGAAAATTTAATCTTGTTTCTTTGATTTTCATACATATGTCAACCATACAGCTCAACGCACTTTTTTTAGCTCACGTGGTTTTTCGCAAATATTAAGGTCACATTGTTGTAATGAAAATTACCATTTTCGAACTGCAGTACAATGACAGAGCCCTTCGTTTATTACCATATATAATGTCAAGCATAAATGTCTTTTAAAATTATTATCTTATGTTTCCAAGTGGATGTTTTTACTAAACGATTCTACCATAGGTTTTTACAAATTGTATAAAATGAGCTTTCGATGATACCATGTAGTTGAAAATTTTAAAGTTTATTCTTCAAGGTATTTTTTTTTAAATCTTTGCTTATTTAACATACTCCTCTTGTTTTTTTCGAAATGTAGCGCCAAAAATGGATAACATTGCAGAAGGAAACCACATTAAAGGGTAAGATAATGAAGTATTGTTTATTTTTTAAAAACAGTAAATTCCTTCCATGAAAAGGAAAATACTTCTGCATTTACGGTTTGAAACATTAAAATTTGCAGTGGGATGAATCTCTCATGATTCTAGATTTTAAAGGTTGATTCTGAAAAATCCCTGCTTATTCATGTTATTAACATAGAAAGCAGCCAGACAGATGAAAAATACTATTCTGCCAATTGAATTGTGTGAATTATGTTTCATGAAATGAAATAAAACTCAAATTATGTAAACAAATACTTTTAAAATGTATTTTGTTGTCTCGATACACAATATTACATCAAAACAATGTGACCTTAATTTGTGCGAAAAACCATGCGAGCTTAAAAAGTGCGTTTAGCTGTATACATGTACCTGAATAAAGCTATAAACAGATCACAAGCAGCAGATTGGAAAAGAGCATGTAAAAAGCTGTCATACAATGTTAATCATATACCTGAACATAGCAATAACCAAGTTAACAAGCAACAGATTGGAGAAAAGCATGTATAGAGCTGACACGGCTCCTACAGTCCAGTCTTCCTGCGGACATCTTTCCTCTGAGGCGTCCGACCATATGGTCTCATTTGCTGTACAGTCATCTGCACAGGGCCCTGTATTTCCTAAATTCAATGATAACAACACAAGTCACATTCTTTAGGTGTGTTTAATCATGACGATATACCAAACCAAAAAAAATACTATTGTTAACTGAAGTAAACTAAAGTGATAATTTTGAGACTATAAAATACTTTAATTTACTAGATTACTTTGACACTTTAATTTGCTAAAGTGATAACTTTAATTTACCATAGTGTTCACTATAAAAACCTTGATTGACTATGGTAAAAAATTATGATTTTCTACTGTGACAACTTTCAAATAATGACACTGTAGTGATAACTTTGATCTACTATAGTAATCACTATAATTAACTATAGTAATTTTATGCCCCATTATCGAAGATTAGTGGGTATAAGGGATGGGTATCGCCAAAAATTTCGTATCGCGATATTATCGCGATATTTTATAAAAATATCGCGATATATTGTGATATTTATAAGCACACTATTTGTTTGATTTATATGGAATTATTGATTATTATTCCTATTTTTTTTCATTGTTGTTGTGAATAAATGAAAAATCAATCATTTTATAATGTATTTAATGTGTTTTCATTCAAAACTTAAAAAATAAAAATAAAGAACAAATAACAAGAAAATAAAATTCTAATTAACATGTCAAACAGAAATAGGTACAATATTTCCTTTCTGGTTTGTAAAAAAAGAAAAAAAAAGGATAACTTTAAAGTCAATACTCAATAACAATTACATTTGGTTTCTTTTTTCAGTTTAGGGCATGTTTTTTTTTAAGAAAAGTAAATTGTCAACATGTTTAGGCTTTAGACGTGCCCTCTGGGCATTTAATATATCCCCCGCCGTTGAAAAAACTCTTTCCGATGGGACACTTGTGGCAGGAATGCAAAGGTATGCTCTAGCAAGTTTAGCAATAAGTGGGAATTTAAATTCATTTTCTTTCCACCAAGAAAGAGGATTTTCCTGAAGAGGTATTGCTCGGGCACTTCTGTATTCATTCACCTGCTGCTCAGCAATAGTACTTGGTGATTTTGGAGGCTCAACATCAGTAATGTATACATCACCAAGAAAGCTGTGGAGCACAGATTCCATAGAATCACCGCAAGTAGAGGAAGAACCTTCTGCTTTGACCCTTTTTTTTTGACAGGGCTAACATCTGGAGAATCTGAAGACAGTGAGGGGAGGGGTGGCTCATTCAGGACTTCAACATCATCTAATTCAGCTTCTTTGTCTTCTTTCTCTCTTCTCACTTTGATTATACTCTGTACTCTACAGACTTCTAACACAATATCAGAGTAAACCGCTGATCTGTCATTTTCTGATAAAAATGGAAGCATCTTGAACCGCGGATCCAAAGCAGAAACAATACGTAGAGTGTGTTCAATCCGATTATATCTTTCTTTCAAGTCTTTATACATAATATTTTTCATGCTGCGGACTGTTGGGGTATCATCATTTTGTTCACGAAGCTTGTCCAGAAGTTTATTGTGAAGTGGCAAGATAATGGACAAAGTGGGAGATTTTTCTGAACACAGGAGTGTTGTTATATCCTTAAACGGCTTTAACAGCTGGACCACTTCCTCTGCCACAGTAAAGTCATCATCATGGAAAGACTTGAATTCTGCTTCTCTTTCTTTTCAAGGTAGCAAATATTGCTACCTGCATTTCGAGAAATCGTGAGATCATATCGTAGGCACTATTCCATCTTGTGCGGACGTCCATTATTAATTTGTGTTGAGGCAGTGATAAACTTTCAGCTGTATTCTTGAGCAAAGCAGCTGCAATGTTGCCTCTGTGAAAAAAAGCTACAATTCTTCTAATTTTGGCTTTCATTAGATACCAACTACCTTGACCTTTTGACCTAAACTTAAACCTTGGCCATACCTTTTGAACGGTAAGGGCTAGTGCTTTTATACATCACGTGATACCATAAACTTTGACATTATATCTCCTTAAAAAAGCAAACCTTGACCCAATTTTAAATGGTTAAGGTTAGTGCTTTTATACTTTTCACATTTAATCCTTGTGAGAAGATAATGCATTTGATATCAAGAATTTTGACCCTTTGATTTTGACGTAAGACCTACTTTTTAAAATTCTTAACCTTGGCTTTAACGTTTGAAGGGTTAGGGCTATGGCTTCTATAGTTTACAAATGTATTCTTTGTGGCTGTTAAACATTTATTCTAATGCAATTGTTTTGTGTAACATGTTTTCATTGGCTAATGCGCTGATGTTTGAAATAGATACAATGTTCCATAGTGAAAATGTAAAATGTGCTTTTAACGGTAGAATTCGTTCCGTGTATTCACAATTTAGCAAAAAAAAAAAACACAGGTGATAAGTCGTATTCAGTGCATTTACTATGAATTATCTAGCTTAGACAGTGCCAATAGTAAACAAGGCGTGTAAATTGCTTAGCGAGAAAAAACGTTGAGAAAATTAGTTGAATTTTTGTCTTTATTTGGATTATAATTAAGGTTTAAAGTCTTACCCAACCCTAAAAATATTGTTTTAATTACATTGGAAGTTATTTTCAATGCAAATAGTTTTGTATTCTTCAAAATCGTTCCGAACCGAATCTGCATATTCTGGCTATTTTGTGGGATATGAAAGGTATTCTTACTGTGGCGAGGGCTTGTCCCGAGACGCAGTTGTTAGATTTTCTAACTAATGTTTGAAGCAGTAAAACGAGCATTAACGGGAGAGTTAGCTTTTTATTGTTACGTCAAAATAGAGCGACGCAAAAAACACAATGCTTCGCGATATTTAATGGAAATAAGACATTAACAACACACGAGATGCAGTAATGGCATTAGATTGCGATAAACTATCTTCTTATTTGGTATTTGCAACCGTAAATGCTGTTTTAACGGTTGCAATTTAGCAATTACCGTCGCAAATACCAAATTAGAAGATAAAGAGATAGTTATTCCCTATATTCAATATATACCTTGCAAGAAGTCGTTAAATGTTTCTCCATAGAGCTGCCAATAGGGATAGTAGATGACCTTCCAAAACCTCCAGTCTGTCCATCTTCCAGCCCAGAAGAATACATGGTCTGGCCAAAGGTTGGCGTGGTAGTAGAAACCGACACCAACGATGACCACGGCGAGGAGGATGATGAATGCAAAGAGGTCCTTCAGCTTTACGAAATAAATCAACAAATGCATTAGCTTCAAGGTTTAACACATTTGTAACAATTATTTGGGTTTTATTGAATTTTTGTTTTAATGGACAGCAGTGATTGACTAATATAGTCGTATGGAAAACATACATTTATCTGGGGGAAAACTTTAAAGAGAACGATATTTTACAGACTTGCATTTTCTGTTGCTATCTGTATCAAATATTCGTGACGTGATACACATGTATTAATGTTTCCCAAGCTTTTTAGTACATGTCTTGAATAACTCAAGTTAATCTAAATTAAGCATTCTTTAAGTTGTCCTCTATTAAAGAACACCAAACTATTAGGGTATATAGATGTAGGAAACTACTGAAACTTTAAAAAAAAAAACTGGTATCGTTGTTAAAATTATAAGAAAGAATCAGAAACCAATCATGTCATGGCAGTTAAATGATAAATGCCTTAGTATGACATTTATTTAGTTGCTTTTAGTACATTTTGGAAAGGAATTTATTAGCTAAGCACATTGAACGGTTTACCATTTCCTTGATCATTATTAGCGTAGGCCCCAGCGTCCTAACCATCAAAAATGCTTCCAGAAAACGTAGATACATAATAAGTAGCGATAAGGAAAACATCCTACGAGCAACTGTGAATGTTGTAGATGGATGCATATGTCGCACAAATAGAGCTATAATCAAGAGTGCATAAGACAAAAGATCCACTATATTCCAGAAATTGTTTAAATATCTCCAAATTATCGTCCGTTTACTACGATTTGATTTTCCTACTATACCACTTTGGTGGAAAATTCCCTGAAACGAAAAATATTTTTTACTGTAAAATTTGACATTTAACACTAAAATCAACAAGCAATATTTTACATTAATACATATTATATATGTAGAATTTCGATTCCATTTCACTACAAATTCACGTTATTCTAATGTAAACACAAACACCTTTCTTCTTCGTTTCATTGAATTCAAAATAGACTACTTACAAAACATGAGAACAGTTCTTCTAACAGGTCACCAAATCCCCAGAAGTACACGTAATACTCAAACGCTCTTGCCAGGACCCTTGTATAGTATCTAGTACTAATACTGGTAGAAACAAAGGCACTATAGCTGACCAGCATAGTCAAAAATAGAACCTTAAAAGAAACATAAAGTGTCTGTTGTAGTAATTGAAACTAATATTTGAAAGTTCTAAGAAGTTAGTTTAACAATAGTGTACATCTGTTTGATTGGTTATCCCAATTCGAATTTTGCCGTAAAAATCAGTTCTCTATAAAATATTTTAAAACTGTAAAAATATGTAAACATGTACATGTATGTTTGTAAAAACTATAGCATAATTTGCATTTTTTTTTCAAAAAGTCTAATTCCTGTTGGATAAAAATCAGAACATTCCAATATAATATAACTGATAGTTAACAGGCATTGTTGCAATTCCTGAAAGAAAACAAATTATCAAATTGTGTTGAAAGTGATCAAAACACTAAAAAAAAGAGATCAAGAAAATTGTGAAAATTGCTTCAATTGTAAGTGTGTTGATATTTTCTTATTGATCACCTCTTTCATGGTTTACATAAGCAATGGAAAATAATTTAACAGAAACATTCTGAACATATAGGGTCATAGGCAGAGAAAAAAATTAATATTATAATAAGCATACTGAAATGATTTAATATTTTTTGATAGAAAACAGCTGTCATTATACTTATACTTACATAGTTAAAGATATATTTTGCCAATGGGGAACGCAAGACATCGCCAATATTGCAGGGTTTTTGGCATATGGACTGTACAAATCGAAAAAGACTGTTATCAAGTTCAGACATCGAAACAACAAATTGTAAGCAAGGAAAACACGTTCTCCAAATCATAAAAGGTGGGAGCAGGGTGTCAAGGAAAAGTAACATTCCCTGGCAACCGGTTACACCTGTCATCTGCTTCCTGTCATACTCAAGATGAAGGGGGAGGGGGGATAGGTAACTCAAAGTGAATTCAAGGTTCTGACGATTTTTACGAAAATGTTCACCGATTTACGACTTCCGAAAAGATTGTACTTGCTGACAAAGCCATTGCATCGGCAAAAGTATATGCGGAATGTTGCATTCAAAGGTTCTCGATTAGTCGATATCCTTGTTTCTCAAGTTAATTTTCAATACCCTGTCCTGTATTAGAAATTATTCGAACGCAGAGCTTGTTATAGTGTATCAAATCGATTGGGACACATAAATTCTAGATCTTGATGGAAGTGATGATGGTATAAAGTTAATCATATTATATAGGGAAAACTGTCAAATCTCCAATATATTTGCAGAAAAAGCGAATTGGAAAATCAGCAAGGCATTTCCTAATTGCAAATTGATCAACAAATATATTTTAGGTTAAAAAACTATAGGTATCCAGACGTTCTGAGAAATTGTCCTGATTTTAATTATACTTATTTGGTATTTTTTTGTCTTCTATTTCCGTCATAAATTATATAATAGATAGTGTAAAGGCTTTTGCTATCATTGCAAGACCCCATAAATCACTTCTTATTTCATATCATGCTAATGAGGAGTGGTATCTTAGGCTGGATTCAAGATAGTCTTATTTCTCTAAAACTGTATTATTTTTGTTTTTTTTTTGATAGGGTACAAATGTCAACTTTTATAAGACCTTTTCTAAGACGCCCAGAAACTTCGAATCATATAAAGATGAATAAATCGAAAAATATTGCATAAAAATCATTTTCAAGCCTTTTTTTGATGCATTTCAAATTAAATATTGATTTTTGGAGTTATCCTTCCTAGCTGTGGATCGAATATCCTTAAAATATTACCTTTATACAAGGGATAAAGTGTGGTGCTTGATCATTGTACCAGGTTTTGTTCAGATGTTTCTGACTGGCAGGCTTCGCAATAAACTCGTACATAAAATTTTCGTATGCAAAAGTCAGTGGATTGCTTGTTATTCCCCAAATAGTGACTGGGTCGTCCAGAAGCTCTAACGTTTTCTTGGAATCAGTTTCATACATGGAGTCAAGAAGCTCTAGGGTTCTCTTGTAAAATAGTCTGAAAACAGAAAATATATAAGTAGTTTGTGTGAATAAAAAGAACTGTAGGCACAGCTTTGTCGATTCAGACATTTTTTTTTATTATCCACGATCAACTCTTGGTTTACTGATATTTAGGACCGAACTAACAACTAATATGGTTTATTAATTTAACAGTATTTAAAGATAGCAATGTAAGTTTTTCGTGGAAAATTATAACAAAAGGCCCATGGGCCACATCGCTCACCTGAGTAACTTGGGTCACGCAGATCTTTACCAGATTCCCCCTCTTGCTATACCTATCATTCCCAACAACCCCCTTCCCTTTTTTATTTTAAAACTTTAGAATCTACACTACCCAAGGATGCTTCCACGTAAGTTTCAGCTTTCCTGGCCAAGTGGTTCTTGAGAAGAAGATTTTTAAAGATTTGTTCTATATATTTCTATGTAAAACTTGGATTCCCTATTGTGGCCCCGCCCAACACCCGGGGGTCAAGATTTTAACAATTTAATATCTACACTACCCAAGGATGCTTCCACAAAAGTTTCAGCTTTCCTGGCCCAGTGGTTCTTGAGAAGAAGATTTTTAAAATTTGTTCTATATATTTCTATGTAAAATTTGGATTTCCTATTGTGGCCCCGCCCTACCCCAGGGGGTCATGATTTTAACAATTTAATATCTACACTACCCAAGGATGCTTCCATATAAGTTTCAGTTTTCCTGGCCCAGTGGTTCTTGAGAAATAGATTTTTAAAGATTTGTTCTATATATTTCTATGTAAAACTTGGCTTCCCTATTGTGGCCCCGCCCTACCCCCAGGGATCATGATTTTAACAATTTAATATCTACACTACCCAAGGATGCTTCCACATAAGTTTCAGCTTTCCTGGCCCAGTGGTTCTTGAGAAGAAGATTTTTTAGTGACCCAACCCTATTTTTGTCTTTTCTTGATTATCTCCCCTTGTAAGAAAACTTGGCCCTTTATTTTAAAAATTTAAACTCCCCTCTACCCAAGGATGTTTTGTACCAAGTTTGGTTAAAATTGGCCTATTGGTTCTTGAGAAGAAGTCGAAAATGTGAAAAGTTTACAGACGGACGGACGGACAGACAGACTGACGGACGACGGACAAAATGTGATCAGAAAAGCTCACTTGAGCCTTTGGCTCAGGTGAGCTAAAAACGTAAATAGTCATACTCACTAAAACGAAGGAATACAATATATTAGTATACAACCTTACTGTGCATGATCCAGCAATGTTTTTGAAAAATTTTGCTCCTTTACGTCACTAGCTTCCTCCGACAATTTCCGTAATGCTTCATAGCAAACCAAACCAGTCACTATAAGTATTTCAAATACTAACTTTAAATCTCATACTATAATATCGAGTTGTTAAGGATGAATAATATATTAAATCTTTTACAGAAATATGCAATATTTCTCATAGATTGGTTATTTTAATAATATTCACCAAGTATATTGGGAGAGTTGTATAAGATTATGTCATTAGGTTAAACATTTATGCAAAATTTTGTATGGAATTATATAGAAAACAAAACGAAGTCTCATATCTAAAAACCAAGGAAAACCTACGAGTTTTTTTTTATAGTTGCAGGGATTTATCATTAGGTCACTTCAAATCAAAATCAGTCAAAAAACATACAATCAATTAATGCATCAATTTTTCTTTGTGTCAAGTTCCAACAAATGCTATTCAACACAGTAGATTGACACAGGTGTTTTGTGACACCCATTTATATCCCGAATCAAAGGCATTCGTAATTCCTCTTCCACTTAATATTAACAATACAGAGTACATGGTAATATATGATCGACAAGGAGGGCGCGAATCTTTTTATATTTGGAAAAAATGAAACTTAATGCAAAGTGTTTTTTTTAAATGGATATGGAGATAACGAACAGTTTTCAATCTCAAAGTCCATAAAAGAATACAAATTAAGAGCAGAGCAAACACGGATCTCCGAAACAAGAAGTGGGATCAGGTGTCATGGAGGAGGGAGCATCCCCTGCCGACCGGTCACACCCGCCGTGTGCTCCTTGTCATGATCAGGAAATAACGGAAAAAAATCCGTCGTCAATTCAGTGTACAAATAATGGACTAACAATCGGTATGAAAAACGCCAGTCAGCATTTGACTCAGTGATAAATTGTATTTGCTGACAAGATCATTGTATCGACCATAGAACTTACGAAATAATGAGGGTCTTTTCTCAAAATCTTTTAATTTGTTGACCCTATGTCATGCACTGTGATTTTTATCTAAATGACACATTATTTTTACAGCAAAAAATATTTTCATTAACGCGGGTTTGTTAAGGCTGCACACGGATCAGAATTATAGACAAATTAACACTTTTTTAAAATAATAAGTAACACTAATATATCAGTAAAGTCATGGATAAAACTTTTGCTATCATTATGCATTCTATAGACTTCAATGGGACTTGTACGTAAGGAAGCACTTCACCACGTCACTACGTGACGTGTATAATTAGAAAAAATGCTTAATGAAAAAGTTAAAAGTTCAACACTACACCGGGGATAGTTTCATGTAATATCAATTTGTTATAAAAGACATGTAAAAACATCTTTGTACCATGAAAAGTGCTGCTAGAATCCCACTGTCCTATCACAGAAATAATTTTTAACACTTTCGGACGAAACCTTCCCAAAATTTTTACACTTTGTTATAAGATCGAAAAAATTGCATCAATCCCGTAAACCATACAGCAATTCCCAAAATCAACAGAAGCAGAACTTGAGATAGAAACAAAAATAAAGTTTTAAAGTGTGCGGCGTAGTAAACTTAGGCCTATGCATCTTTTTGTAACGAACGATAGAGGAAAGGCTGATCGGCAAGTAAACACCCTGTCTGCTTTTATTTTACGAAGAAATTGTAGAAATATATTAGCAAACCTTATTCATGAGATTTATTTCCACAGGAATCACACATCTAATTCATTCTAAATGCCTTTAAACTCCGATTTTTAGCCGGGCTTATTGCTCAAAGAGCAATTGCCGGCTTATGTGATCCTGTTCAAGGCAGGATGTTGACCCCATAGTCGCCATTTTAAAGTTACGTGCAAAAATATAGTTCTTACTCTCAAATGCTTTTGAGATAATACAAACGCTAAATAAAGCAACAAAAATAAAACGAAGTTTTATCTATATAAAATAAAACAAGTCAAAGAACAAAGTTCATTAGCGTAAGGATTTTTGATAATCAGTGTTACCGTAGTTCTCTACACATTCGAGGTAAAGCCGGAGAGGGAACCAGACTGGCCTGTTTGTTTACATTCAGCTGCGGTACCAGATTAATTCTGATTCTGACAAAATCGGACCGTGGTATTAGGATTGAAAAACTCACTGTCAGTGTCTTATCATTTATACTGATAGTTTTAAAATATTTTTTTCATCAGAATATAAACGTGAGTCATGTAAGAAATCCATTCTACTCTGTAAATGAGCCCGGCTCTCTGTACTTCTGAGTACTTTGATTTGTCTTTGTTTACATGAATTCTCGCGTTTTACTTTGGATTTGCTACTGCATGATCAACAGTTATGACGTCACGGGTTTGGTATTTAAAACCTGTGATAGCTACAGAGGCCCAGAAACAACAAAATTTGTAAAAATTATGCCTCTGCATATTTTGATACATATTTAATGTACGACCTCAAATCAATCTTAGATATCGATTTTAAAAAGTTGTAATCTCAAAACTTCGCGTGATATAGCTAATTATGACGTCATATCATATAGAAAAATATTTGGTTGTAACTTTAATATACCTGCGAAATTATAAATGCATCTCATATAACTTTTTAGCTGAGGCAAATACACGACAGTAACGATATTCTTCAGTAAACAACTGACTTTCTTCTAATGACATACTGAGTTGGTGTTCTCCTCTTAGCCAAACTGTTTCAGCAATCTCTGGTCTATTGGCGTATAAAGCCCACAGAAGTATATCTTCCAGTTCGGCTGGTTCATAATCCTCTTCGTCACTATCTTCGTCCTCACTGCTCGTCTCTGGTTTAATTTGAGATTTCTTCTCCTTCCTCTTCTTCTTCTTCTTCTCCTTCCTCTTCTTCTTCTTCTCTTTCTTCTTCTTTTTCTTATCCTCCTTATTCTCCTCCGTTTCTGAAAAATATATTTCAAGTCATTTGACGTTTTCCACATTTCATTTACGTATATTAGGCACAATGAACACCATTGAATAATTACAAGTCGAATGGCCCATTGGCCACATCGCTCACCTCAGTAGCTTTGTTTAACAGATTGTTCCCTTGTTATATCAATATTGTGACCCCACCCTACCACAAGGGGTCATGGTATGGACAATTCTGAATCTACACTACCTTAAAACGCTTTCAAATAGGTTTCTCTTTTTCTGGCCTAATAGTTCTTGTGAAGATTTTCCCCCATATTTTTTTAAAGTAAAATTCAGATTCCCTATTATGGATCCGCCCACCTCCCGGGGTCGTGATTTTATCAATAATTTTTACTCGACACTATCCAGGATGCTTTCTCGGGTGTTTCATGACCCAATGGTTCTTGAGAAGAAATTAAAAAGGTGAGAAAAAAAATTACAAATGGACGGACAATGGGTGATAAAAAAAAATGCTCGCTCGATCTATTTCTTCTTCAAATTTCATTGGGGTATATTAAATGCAATTATGAAAAAAAATTCGGTATTATAAAAATAATCCAATCTAATACATACTCTTATAATCGAGAAGTTCTCTGCAAATGGTCTTCGGAGCCTTAATTGCCTTCCTCGCCTTTTTTTTCTTGAAACATTTTTTGGTTTTCTTTCTGTTGATTGACTTTTAATGTAAATGAAGCAAAAATAAATATCATCTTAGAATAAGGTCATCTTAATAATAATTCACTCATTCATAAAAAACAACTGATTTATTTTTTTCTTCTTTCAAACGACACATTGTTGATACTAGTACATGTAAAGTTTTGGTCCTACCTTCATCAGCCACATCATTCCTAAACAATCACAGCTCTCGATGTCTTCGGAATGCTTGGTACAAAGTATCGTCTTAAGAACAAAATCAAAAACAAATTAAGTATTTCCAACAATTACTCTTTACAGTTTAAAAAACAAAATTAAATAACATCAATACCAACAACTTTGACCTCGACCTTGGAGTTGACCTACTTTTTAAAAACTTTAACCCTGGCCCCAAAATTTTGAACAGTAGATACTAAGACTTTCATATTTCACATATGTGTTCTTAGTGGCAAGACCTTTCATTGATACCAACAACTTTGACCTTTTGACTTTGGAGATTTCCGTACTTATGATAAAATTAGCATTGGCCATAACTTTTGAATGGTAAGGGCTAGGGCTTTCTTCTTAACATATGCAATCCTTGTGACACCTTTTATTAGATACCAAGAATTTTGACCGTTGACCTTGACACTTAACTTACTTTACAAAAACTTCAACCTTCACAATAACTTTTGAAGGATTAAGGCTTAGGCTTTCATATTTCACATATTCAATCCTTCTGACAGGACCTTTCATTGGATATCAAGAATTACCTTGACTTTGGACTTTAACCTACTTTTATTTTTAACCTTAAACTTTTGAACGGTTAGGGTTAGGACTTTCTCCCTTCACACATGTTTTACTTGTGACAAGACCTTTGTTAAGAAACCAACAACTAAGACCCTTTGACCTTGGAGTTTGAACTACTTTTCAAAAATTTATCTTTGGCCATAACTTTAGAACAGGTATTGATAGGGATTTCGTATTTCACAAGCGTATTTCTTTTGAAAAGACCCTTCATTGGGTAATAATTTATCTTATTTGCTTTAAAGGAAAGTTTAATTATCGCCATACAGGGTCATAAGCGTTTCACAAGCACATCTTGTTCCTTATATTGAGAAGAGAAAGGGCTTTCATAATTGACATGTGCATTACCTGTGAGAAGATGTTTCCGAGCACGCTATGATTTATGACCCCTTGACTTTGACGACTGATATATTTATAAAAAAAAAATCAACTTCAGTGATAATTTCTTAATGACATACGACGGAGCGTTCATATTTGACACAATATGTCATAATAAATGACATCTGACCCACAAAGACACCGAATGAGGGGGACAACAGTTCTTTGAATTTGCTTGTTATATTCATTTTACCTGTTTCCTTTCGATACCTTTTGAATGCAGACAATAAAAAAAGTTCTCAAAAGATTTTCAGTTTAAAAAAAAAAGTTCAATTTTTACAATTTAAACAAGATAGTTCTACATTAAAATATGCATTTCGTGGTAGACCATTCCAAGTAAACGTCAGGAAATTGTTTTTTCTGGTCAAACTCTAAGAATTAAGTCTTTAGGCATTTGTCTGCAATATTTTTTGCACGTATATATAAAGCATTTATTTCTATGTTGAATTTGCTTAAAATAGATCTTACCTTAAAAAATAATAATGAAATAATGTTTTTCTTGAATGACATGTAGTTGTGTAGCATGTTTTAGGCATTAATTTCTGTGCGTTTTATTTTTCTGTCTGTGTAGATTGTGTGAGAGGGTTTTTTTTTTCTAGACAGGTAAGTATTTGAGAGATGAATAGCCGTTTAACAGAGAAAACACTTGGAACGATCTTACATTAATAAAAATATCTTGATTAATACCTAGCTGGGGATTAAAAAATCAGATGTATTAACAGTAAAATGTGGATAAGAATTTATAAAATTATATTGCATTACATTAAACTCAGACATGTTTGATGGTCATTTGGCAACAGTATTTCATTTGTTTTCTTATATCTTTCTATATGTATCAGCATTGTCATAAAAAATATCAATTAACCAATGAAAAAAATATGACCAAAAAATATCAAATATTTAAAAATATTTTACATTTTTTTCTTTTTAATGAGCAAATGTAAAGTTAAAAAATATAAATCAGGGTCACAAGAAATTTCGAATTCAAAAAAATTAAATGCAGTTAAGTAGCTCTCACTAGCAAGTCATTTTTTTTCTACAAGTCTATGTGCCGCAATTGTCAACACTTTGTGTTGTTCTCTTATAAAAGCACTAGTAGATTTAGTGGGGATCGCATTCCCCCTTTGTTTCCAAATTATACACAAGCTTTAACAAATATTTTATTTTGTTTAGCCCCTATCCCTATCTGACCCCTCTTTCAAGGTTCCTGGATCTTTGATAAGAGTTTCTAAGGAAATTGGACCAAAGCCCAGCGCAGGATAACTAAAAACTATATATATATGAGCGTTATCATGATTAAAAACGTACGGTTTTGTAAAGAGTTTGTACATCTTTCCTCCTGACCATTACACCATGATCCATGAGAACTTTCACATAATCGGTTCGATTGAATTTCAGAGCCTCAAGCAGTAACATCTGTAATGAAATAGTGAAGATAAACAAACAGTGATAGATCTAAAAAAAAAAATAATACCAGACATGTTTGTAAAAAACTTATGCCCCGTACCTCAAAAATCATAATTTTCTGATATTCTTATAACTTATTGAAATCAACGATTAAATCGTTGATTTCAAAGACTTACACGACCACATTCATTCAGCAGATTATGTTCCTGCAACACTTGATATCCAACGTAGAAATAAAGCGGAAGTGAGGGTGGCGAGGTTAATTTAGAATCTACGACGTATCCCTCTGTACGGAAAGACTCAAGTAATTCTTCAATGGTCTTATTCTTGTTTCCGTTAGCTTCAATACTTAAGGAAATGACGGGTCTGGTCACTTTTTCTGCCTTGTTTGTCTGGTTTAGGCTATACATAGCTTCTGGGCCTGGATAGGAAGGGTTTTCTATCCAAGAAAATTCACAAAAATACAGTTTATTTAATTGATGACATCTACTTCATGTCATTTACCATGTTTCTTAATAAGCAAAAATGACAACATAATGCCCGAAATTAATAAGCATATAGTGTTATCAGGAAACAACTATACTCTCAGTTGCTAACAAGAATTTGTCATATTATCCAGACTGTTTTAATGAAGCGATTTCATTTCGCAAAAAAACTTACTAGTTAAAAAAAGGGGGATTATTTGTAATAATCAAAATATTCAGACTCAATAAATATCAGTTTGAAAAAATGTTTATTAATCAAATGACATACAAACATACTTTACATGTATGAATAAAATTAGCACTGCTGTTAAATCTTATTCCGAAATATATTTTTAAAAATATTAAAAAGATATTGAGATAATTCTTACCTGAGCTTTCCTGTGCTGTAGAAAGCGGAAAATAAAGAATTCAATATTTCATTATTGATGCAAACTTTTTTCTACTAGTAGGCTAAAAGTTATGTCAGATAATGTCAGCCTTTTTTTTTCAAATGTTGACAGATTGATGTAAGCTGTCTAACGCCCCTTTCGAGAATTTTTCACTCATTTGGAAACTACATCACTAACCAGTGAGAGCTACAAATTTTGATCTATACTCGACACTCAGGGCCACTGTCATAGGGCTTTTTTGTGTCTGCATCTACTGTATTCGGGACCTCGGTTTATACAGTCACATAAGAGTAGAAGCTATAACCACTGCGCCACGCGGGCGAATTTCAATTGTTAAATATGTTATCTTCATTTTTTCCAATAAAGACCAATAAAGTTATCAAAAAAAAAAAAAAACAACAAAAAAAAAACATATGAACATTTGTTTCCGAATAAATATTAAATACGAAATACTTTCTGTGTTCGGTAGTCTTAAAGAAACATAAATCCAGTGTTAAGTCACAAAGAAACATTTCAGACAGAATTTATTCCAGTAAAACTTTATCAAATTTATATACAAGGAAACTTTAAGGCAGCCATCTCGCCTTGTTTGTCCATACCTTTTAATGCATCTGTACTGTGTACATCTTCCAGGGCCCACCCTCTTACAACCGCCTCGCCAACAAGCTTCGGTAAAATCAAGGGATCATCATGCTCTGTATCGAAATGGCTAACCTAAGATATCGATGAAACAATTAGTATTCTTTCTTAAGTCCCGTCATATGAAGGAAACTTAAGAACACAATCGATCAGAAGCCTCTTTAGGAAAAACTTGTCAAGAAAACTTAAGAACCAATTTTAGGAAAACTTACTGTGTTATATTTAACGAATTTAATATTTAACTATACGTGTTTGTGAAACACTGATGCCCCCGTATGGCAAAGTAGCAAAGATTAAACTTTTCTTAAATGCAAAATTAATGTATTGGTACCAAAGGAACGGTATTCTCACTGAAAATACAACTGTGAAATATGAAAGTAGAACAAGTTTAAGGTTTTTTTAATTATGCATGGAAATTTTGATGGTCAGGGTCATTGATATCCAATGAAAGAACTTGCCACAAAAAATACACATATAAAGAATGGAAGCCCTAGTCCTAAACGTTCAAAATTTATGACCAAGGTTAAAGATTTTAAAAAGTAGGTCAAACTCGAAGGTCAAAGTTCTTGCTATCAAATGAAAGGTTTTGTCACAAGGATTAAATATGTATGAAGGCACGAGGCCTAACCCTTTAAAGTAATGGTCAAGGTTTACTTTTTAAAAGTAGGTCAAACTACAAAGACAAAGTTCATAGTATCCAATGAAGGATCTTTTCACAAGGATTACGTATATGAAGTATGAAATCCCTTATCCCTTACCGTTCAAAAGTTATGGCCATTTTTTGAAGTTTTTTCACAAGAACAGAAATTTTCGAGGTCAAGGTTGGTATCCAATGAAAGGTCTTTCAACAAAGAATACAATTTTGGAGTATAAATGACCTGATATCTACTGTTCAAAAGATATATCCAAAGTAAAAGTATAGAATTTTTGTCTAAAAGTGGGTCAAACACGAAGGTCAATATCAAAATTGGTGTCACCCAAAGAAAGGTCTTCTAAAAAGGAATATTCATGAGAAATATGAAAGTCATAGCTCCATTAAATTAAAAGCTATGGGCAAGGGTAAAAGCTTAGCGGACAAGTGCAAATTTTATATATTGGTACCAAAACTAGAAAATACAATTGTGAAATAGGAAAGTCATATCACCATTTGTTCCCAAGTTATGGCCAGGTTAAAAAATTTTTTAATTAGTAATGAATATTCAAGATGAAGGTAAGAAGTTCAATGTTATTGGTATCCAATGAAAGGTCTTGCAACAAAGAATACGTGTGTGAAGTTTAAATATTCTGGTAACTACTATTCAAAAGATATGGCCACAGTTAAAGTTTGGAATTTTTGCATAAAAGTGGGTCAAATTCCAAGGTCAAGGTCAAATTTTGTGGTACCCAAAGAAAAGTCTTCTTACAAGGAGTGCAGTTATTAAATTTGAAAGTCATAGCTTTACTAGATCAAAAGGTATTGGCAATGTCAAAGTTTTTGCGGACAAGCAGACAGACTGGGAGACAGACAGGCAGACGGACGGACACGACTAAAACTTCGTTTACGGGGGCATAAAAATACACGTTTATTAAAATTTTAATATGTTGTCACGTTGTGATACTATTATAAAATTGATTGGACAAGAAAATACATGTTTTATGGACTTTGTTATTGAATAATGTTCGTTATCTCCATATCCTTCACACATCAAGCTGAAAGGAGAAGTACATTAATAAGGACAGGTTGTCTTTTTTTATGTTGCTGAATCCATAATAAATTGTATATTGGGAACATATAAAATATTTGTTGAAAGAAAAAAGCAATACAGAGACATTTGCTTTATTGTTTTTTAAATCTCCTTTAAGCATGTAAACACTCCTTCTCTGCCTTTTTATTAATAAAGATGTAATATTTGATTCAAAATATAAAGACACATAATTGTTTTTCCCCAAAATGATATTTCAAAAAATTCTTCAAGCCTTCAAATATAGGTTTACAAAATTATGTGTAATATTATACCATCCAACGTCTTTTTTTCAATTTATCGAGGCTTTCCTGTAAATCCATAAAATGAATGTCATTGAACTTGAGTCCAAATAGAAGTGCAGCCTGGCTCCGAAGATTGCTTTCGCTGTAATAATCATAAATACAATGTATCGTTAGTACATCATTGCATAATTTGATTTTAGAATTTAATAAAATAAGAAGAAAATGAAAGATGTAGATTAATTGCTTTTTGAATCAGAACTTAAACACACTCATGGAAATAGTCCAGAATGATGTCTGCGGCTTTTCCGGAACCCTTGATTACAATGACAGGAACCTTTTCATGCACAGCGTCAGCAGCATGTTTGATGTCATCCAAACCCCCCTCTACTAGGATTATGACGATCGGTATGTGCATAGCTATTATTGAAAAAAAAATCAGATTTATAACTCTGATTTTCAATTTAATATCTGATGTTTTAAATTGGACAAGCGATTTTAGCGGGAATTTGGTCGTCTGAAATGGTACATGTACCTGTACTCTATACAGATTGAGAAAGGAGGTTTAAACACTCATACAAAAACGTATGTGTACATGACAAAGACAACAATTCGAAATAGACGCAATTAAGGTAAATTCTGTCTGTTTTCATAAAGGCATGGACCTGATGCTGTGAGAATGATTAAGATGCTAAGAAATCAACCTCGATAAAAGCCGGTACATATAGTTTGTTTATATATATATATATATATATATATATATATATATATATATATATATATATATAACTCCGGATACTTACTTAAGTTCGGAGGAGTTAATAATACCAACTTGGGTGCTGATGTTCCGTTTCCGTATTAATTTAATTTTTTTGGTAAATATTTTGCTATTTTATGATAAAGATGAGCACTTTTATTGGAAATATAGCAGAAATAGAGGGGAATTTTATTTTGTTAAAAGAAAAATTATGATATATATTTTTGACAGCACCGAAGTAGGGTATATAAATGGCACTTAAGTTAAGACCCTACTTAACTCCCGTTAAGGGCGAAAACTGCGGCAGTCTTAATTGTCCTGAAATTCATGGATGTACTTACAGGCAATTTCAGGGCTTCGGCAATTGATTTATAAGGTTTCAGGTAATAAATAATCAATAAAAATTTACAGTCTTATTAAATCAATTTTCTTGTCATGTTTTTGTGTTTATTATTCTCCAAGATTTTTTAAGAGGAGATGAACTCTAATCTTCGCTATATTCTTCTTCTTCTTCTTCTTTTTTAAATTGTATCTATGACAATACTTAAAGTTATATTATGTGAATACTTGAAAGATCAAGTGGATTTAAAAAAATGATAATGAAAAAGACACTAATATATCAAATGAAATTCAAACTTTTACATTACGCTGCTACAATAGGCCTATATATGCGTACCGAGGAAAAATGTAAACAAAGAGTTGTTGCTCTTTACGACCTACATTATATATATAAATGAAAGTACTGACAGTACTTCGCAGAAATTTGTTTAGTAAACATACTATAATTGACAATAATTCCCTAACAATTTATTTGAAATCCATAAAAATACAAGCTATTATTATGCACATTTTTTTCTACAGAACTTACAATGCGTTTAGGTTATCCATATGCGAATTAAAAATGAATAAATTATGGAAAACTAAGCAAATGTTGAATAAAAATGTAAATTTTTTAATTAAGTATTTAAAAAGCCGCACCTCTTCTAGTTCATTTTATGAACTCTTTTCAGGAGTATTTTTTAATATCAATTTTTTTTTTTAATTTGTTCATTAAAAATTTTAGAAAGTCGAAAGATTATGTATTTAATATAAAGTGTTCAGCTTCTACAGGTTTCGTGCATTTTATTCCATCCAGTAGAAGAAATTTAAGGGATTTTGTGTCAAAATATACTTTTTTTTAAAGTAAAGCGTCGGAAATACAAACAGGATTAATTTTGTAAAATGAAGAAACGGATAGATTATCTTTTATATATATTTTTATGCACTCAATATTTTAAAATTCATAAATTTTATAAAATTTATAAAGAAAAAAAAATAAAATGAAGGAATTCCAAAGCAAGACAGTCTACTACGTGTTTAACATTCAATTAATGGCGACACGTGGTTTTCGTTGGTTTACTGTATATAATGTTAACTTTCGTCAACGGAAAACCCCTACAGTTTCTATTTCATTTTATAGGCCAAAATTGAAAGATTATATTCTGAAAGACACCATATGCTCGAGATGATTAGTAGTTGCTTCAAATACCGTACAAACGCTATGACGTTTGTATAGACATAAAACATCAGTTTTGATAATATTGAGGGGTTAAAATAATAATTGCACACTTTGCACTACTGTCTAAACTGTGCACACGTATACTACGTGAAAAAAACTCGATGGTTTAGCGTGATTAGGCCGATGTTTTATAAGTTGGCACATGCTGCAATAATGTGACCCCCTCCGATTTTTCTATCAATTTGATTAAAATCAGATCCTTTGATCCGCTCACATAGATTGCTAGCGATCTATGTGAGCGGATCAAAGGATCTGATTTCAATCAGATTGATTTTTTTATCTGATATATTTTCTCTCCCCAAAAATAAGAATAAAAAAAGGGAGAGGGCTACATCATTGCAGCTGTGTATAAGGCTTCTCAAAGCACCTGAATTGTGTTAATGAGAGCATATAAATGAAAGATTTTACATCATTTTTAATAATTCTTTCATAAATCTAAAAGAAAAAAAAATTGAAAATGATTTTCCAAGAGATAATTCAAGTTGCTCTTTCTTTTCAACACAGCTGAGTACTTGTAGTATCCCAATCCCGTAATGCAATACTCAGTCATTCGATCATCAGTGGGTAAAGTAAACAGAAAGCTTTTATGCTGACATCTGAAAATTTAGTAGTCTCGACCTGTTATAAAAAAAATTGGAATAGGTGTCTGTAATAGTGCATTAGTTTTAATGATTTGCAATATATTTAAAGGTACTTGGACACAGATTTGAAGTTAATATTTTCTGTTTTTTTTCTCTATAATATTACGAAGTATATATTTTAATAGCATTTCACACAAAAAGTACTTAAAAATCTTATTTCATTTTAAAGTTATTAAAACTTTAATTTTTTTTTGCGGGTTTGATTGACACATCCTTACACTTTCACAAATTTTAATTTTACTCTTAATACTTAGGAAAAGTGGCAATCTTGTTGTGTATGAATGCAAAATATTGATACTATAATTCAGAAAATTCAGAGTAGACATGTTCGAAAGCAAAACAAACACACACTATATTCTCAGTCCGTGCAGTTGTGGTAAGCAGACTGTGACGATTCAGAACGCACCCGGTGAAATCTAAACATAAATAAAAACAGAGCTCGTGCCTTGTTTACAAAAACTGTGTACATAACACGAGTGTGATCGATTTGCACACACGACTTAGCTCGGAATGACGATACTTGTGAAGGTGTTTTGTTTTCTAACATTTCTATTCTGAATAAAATTATTTTTCTGGATTAAAGTTTTAATATTTCTCATTAATACACAACAAGATTGCCACTTTTCTAAAGGATTAAGAATAAAGTTAAATATGTGAAATTGCCAGGATGAGTCAATCAAACCCGCCAAAAAAAATTGAAGTTTTAATAACTTTTAAATGAAATAAGATTTTTAATTAATTTTTGTGTGAAATGCTATTAGAATATATAATTCGTGATATTATGGAGAAAATATTAACTACAAATCTGTGTCCAAGTACCTTTAATACGTATTTTTTTTATTTGAATTTACCGCGGATTTTAAAGAACAATAATTCTGTCCATAACAGCATTTCCGGTGGCATGCCATTTCCGGTTGAGAGCAGATAGAAAGAGAAAGTCATCATAATGCTGTTGTAAGGAGTTCAAGTACACAAAATCAGCAAAGTTTCCACAGCAACATGGATAAGTATACCATCAGAAATTGTTCTTTATCAAAATGATGATGTTGAGCGTGAGCGTGTGGATGAATTATAGCTGCAGAACTGTAGCTCTCTGCTTGAGAAAATTCGTATAAATAAAGCAGAGAGCTACAGATCCAAGCGTTGTAAAAACCTTCGATTTACGCCGACGATTTTTTGTCGCTACTTTAGGTATTTATTTCTATTTATTTCTTGTACTTTAATCTTTCTCATGCTTTTAGAATGGTATCCTATAATAGTTCATGTATTTTAACTCTGATATTTGACCTTTGTTTACCTTTTAACCAGGTCCAGTACAATCACTAGATTTAGCTACGTAGGTAGAATTACCTACGTAGCTTTATTTACCTACCTCAGGTAGCTTTATTTAGCTATTTCAAGGTAAGTTTTCAAAAGTTTTCTTTTTATTAAAAAGAGACAAAAAGTCGCAATTAAATGACTATTGATATTCATACTAGGGAGGCTTTAAAAAACAATCCAAAGCAGAGATAGTTTATACATTGCTGTGTTTGGACAATTTAGAACAAAACATGTAATTCCATTGTTTGGTTATCTGACCATGCGGTGAGGTTCGGTGAGGCATGACTGAGTATGATTACTTTACATTGTGCTGAATAATCACTGACTTATTATCGTGTTAACCGGAACTGGACTTCTTTGTCATTTCATTCAAGGAGTAACTGTTCTAACTGTCATACATAGCCCCAAAACTTTCAGAACTTTGATTGCAATTGCGCAGAAAAAGACATTTTTCCAAGAGGGATTTTTTCATGAGTTGTTTTCAGATGAGTTCAAAGTTGAAAATGATCACTGCATCAAAATGATATTGTCTGCACACCCTGAGAAAAATGCTTTTTAATAGAGATAGATCAATTTGGTAGCTAAATAAAGCTACCTCAGGTAGGTAAATAAAGCTATGTAGGTAAATTAAGCTACGTAGCTAAATCTAGTGATTATACCAGACCTGTTAACGGTCCGAAACAGTCCTGTATATAGTTTTGTAATTTCGGTTTAAAAGAGTTCCATTTTGACGTCCGTAACCACAAACAGCCATTTGTTAGCGTCGAGAGGTAAGTAAATGATCAGGAATTAGAAGTTGAATGTATGATTAATTATTAAATACCATTTAAAATTATTTCCAAAGCTTGGGAAAGTATAAAATACACGAAAAAATACCCATAGTGAGCGACGAAAAATCGTCGGCGTAAATCGAAGGTTTTTACAACGCTTGGATCTGTAGCTCTCTGCTTTATCTATCCAAATTTTCTCAAGCAGAGAGCTACAGTTCTGCAGCTAGATGAATTATATTTAAACTTGTTCAGTTGTTGCTCCAAATTCTAACGTGCTCAACAGGCAGTTTCATACAATTATTGCATGAATGTTCGGGAGACATGAAGATTTCTTCGCCCATGAAAAATCATATTCCCCGAGGGCAACATGAAGATTTCTTCGCCCATGAAAAATCATATGAT